TTAGCGTTCACAAAGTCCACTCGGGAGTCGCTCTCCATCTGCCCCAGTGCATGGACGGTGGTAGGAGAGAGAAGAGGCTGCCCGGCTTCTCGCTCTCCCTGGGTAATGATGTGCTTCAGCCCCTGGAGACTGTTGGCTGAGTGAGCACATCCCCCTTGCTGCGATCCATACCAGCCCCCCACACCCCCGTTCAACACACATAAATGCCCAGACGGCTGTTCCTCCCCGTGTCCTCTCCTGCCCTCACCTTCCCTTTACTCCTCAGCTGGCTCCTTGTCCTCACATGCCTCTTTCTGCATTTTCCGGGGCTCACTGGCAGTCGCACTTGATTCGCCTCGTCTTGCTGTGTGGGGAGGAGCCCCGACTCCGCAGCGCTCTCAACGCTCTTGTTTTGTCAAATTGCCAAATTGGCTACTGTATTTAATCACTCACACACAGCCAAATCCCATGAAGTAATTAAGAACTTTTAAATCCGGCAATTAACATGTAAAGATTAGGGCTACCCGTTCACGCTTAGGGCTTTAGTGCAGACGCTGATAATGCAGGATAAGCAAAAGCAGTTTCCTCTGAGCGCGGGGGAGGGTGTGGGGGGGGGGCGTACGGGTGGGGTTGGGGGAGAGTGCAGATATGAATTGAGCCCCAGCATGTCCCTCTTATGTAATTCCATTATCCCAGAGAATTTGCCTTAATGTGACAGTGGCAGAATCCACGGATTATAATGGCTCTATTCCATCATTGTAGAACACAACTAGGACACACACTTACACAACAAGCATTTCCCAATAATTAAGCAGCTTCAACGCTTACACAAAAGGATGCACTTTTTCAGACACACCAGTAACTTATGGCTTCGGTGTTGGGTTTACGTTCGTACTCTGTTCATCAATCCTGATTCTAACGTTTCAATCTGTGGATTGATAAGTTTCCCATAAGTATGAAGACACAGACGAAATAACATAAACATAAGTACATTAACACCAGGGGTCACTACTGCGGAAACCAGACGCCGTTGTTTCTGGAAGCTGGACCTATTAAATGTTGACTGAGCGCTCTACGCCACTTGTTGAGGAACCCAGGAAACACACCAACCAGTCACATGCGCCGTGAATCACTTGAACTACGCACCCAACAAATATGTGGATTCTGATCAACTTCCCCGCTTGAGTGAGATAAACAGCCACAAGAGAGCTGAGCAACAGGCGGAGTGGTGGAAGGAGAATAACAAGTTAGAGAGGTTACTTCACATGACGTCCTCCGAAAAAAAGGAAACGCGTTCAGCAAGACCAGAACCTTCAGCGGAGAACGACGATTCTTCCCACGGTGAGTTTAAAACCAGTTTGTCTGATACGCTCAGAGACCGTGGCGATCATCAAAAGTGGTAACGTGAACCGTCACTACGGCGCAAAGGACAACAAACTCGAGCCAACGTGCCCACTCACATCCCAAACGAAAGAGCCCAATGTGACCAGAATCCAAACACGTCCACTCCCTGTTCAACAATAATGTTAACAGAGAGGAGAGCAGGAACAAGATGCTTAAATAACCAGAAAATATATTCATTAAAAGAACAAAACATTATGACCTCACTTCACACCTGAAATAACTGAGTTTAAAGCTGCAGGGCAATTCAAATACATTTTTTCTAAAAAAAAATTGTTTTTATTAATTGTTAAATATGTAGCCCTTGTTTAACTTGAAATGAGAGAAGAAACATTGATTTATAATAATCATCAGACTTAAGATATTATTAATGTGAACTTTCTTTTTACATTAATACAACTGCAAGCTACTCTAATAATCATGGGACTAAATCACATCAAAGGTTACAAATGACTGCGATGTTCAGGAAATACTCTCTTAATGGCCCTTGATGAATTTAAACTGAACACACCGGAGTAACTGCCCATGATAGTTTGCCAGAATGATCATGAAAAACATCTCCTTGACCCTGAAACAGTGTTTGTACATGACAGATGAGCTACAGGTGAATGAAAAACAATTTTCAACTTTCTTCAGATGTCACGTCTTATTTGATTTAGCTTGAGCTTCTGCTGAGTAGTCAGGACTCCAACCATTATAGATTAGCGTGACCTTAATTTCAACACCTATGTAAATGAACTCCTGTACCTCCACTGCTGTATGTACAGTTTATAGGTTGCTATGGTTGAGGTTCGGTGTCACCTTTGCAGTCGGAGCTCCATATGAATTGCGGACCATCTAAATTGGTTTATTTAATCTAGTCAGGGCACTGCATGTCAACCAGCGAGAGACACCAGTTTGTTCTCTTTTATATGAAGCACAGATGGAAGCAACAAGAGAAACGGCACATAGATAACAGCGCCGCAGCCAAAGACCGAGGTACCTCAAGACTTCCTGTGATCCCCGCCATCAATCAACTTTAGAGGGCTCCTAATGGCTTCTCCCCGAGGCCGAACGAGGCGCATACCAAACACCCCGCGAAAACAAACTGATGCACGTTCACGCAGCTATCGGGTCGGCGTGCCAGAAACATTTTTAATACGCTAGCGTGCGTCCTCACAGGGGATGCTTATGCCAGCCCTTCTCCAATTACCACAGAGGCGGGCACTGAAAGCGGACGCTAAACACATGGGCTACTCAGACTTGTAGATTAGCGGCGAGGTCAGGTGCAAGAAAGTGCTTTCTTGTTTAAGAGTCAGAGCTGGCTGGATTTAGCCTACTTGGGTATAATGTTACATCACGGACTCGGACTGGGTCAACAGGTTTGCAGGGCTGCGCTGGCTGGGGAGATGGGGCCTCTCTCTGCACGCTGAAGCCACAGTTTTGCCCTCGTTGACACACATTCCTGCCTCCTTTCACCCACAGACCTAGCATGCCTACCGCTGGGAGGGGAGGACGCTGTTCCAGCCTTTGTGGATCACGTTAATTGGGTCCATCGCCACCTGTGGAAATATCTCGATGACTCGGGTGCAGGCGGCGAGGGACGGCTGTATCAAACTCAAGTGGGTGGATCCATTAATCCGATCTTGGAGCCTTCTGTAGGACGGGCCGCCATCACGCGAATGAATGTCCGCTGACTGCTACTTGCTGTACCAACAACTCTCCTCCACGTGCAGATCTTCCGCTGTCACACACCTTCTCCGTACTTTGTTTAAAACGCAGTCAACACAGACTGACCTTTGTCCCAGGAAAAACAGCTATATTTGGTGACTGCGGAGGGGTTGTGTGGAAAGAGGTCACATCCACACGTTCACAAGGAGCCCTTTGAAGAGGTGCTTAAATACAATCATACCGCAGTGACTGCACAGATCAATAGCTATCCAAGTCCCCCTCATCTCGGGATAAACACAATTTGATGATCCAAATCAAACTCCATCTTTCAGAGAAGGGGCCTCTGTGATGAGTGAACACACGCGCTCTCTCGCATAGAAGCACATCCGAAGTAGAGCCTCAGATAAAAGCAGAAAGACAAACATCCACTCGCAGCCTCAACTGTGAATCATTTCGCCGAGAGCGCGTTGCTTCGTCTCAAGCCCGGCTGGTCTACATCACACGGCAAAGAAAGCTAATTAGTCCCCATTAAAATAAGAGGGGGCCGTCCCTCCCCCCCACTACACAATTGCATTAATCAAAGGTTAACCCGTTCACATCAAACGGGGGTGTGTGACAGGCACTCCTGTGATGTCATGTGCTCCCATTTACCAAATAGAGGCAGCCGGGCTGTTGCCAAAGCACAGTGGCAGGATGGCCGCGGCGTGCTCGTCTCCGCTTCCTGCTCAGCCTGCACCCGTCGGCTGTGGTCTTAAGCTACACGCAGCTCGGGAAGACATCAGTGGGGGAGGGGAGCCAGACAATTAAGACGGAGCTCAATCTTTGGGATTTTCAGTAAACCAGCGTCTGTGTGTTCTCCCCGTTTGCCACTCATTGTAAAACCACAGCTGGAAAGGTTAGAGTGCTGGGGACTAGTCAACAAAACCCACAAATGACTCATCTGTCACTCATGGTGCAAGTGATGACACAAGTAAACAATCTCACACCACGGCACACAATACTTCTGGTGAAAAACACTCCCCCGGTCGGGTGGAGGAAGCATCAGCGCACACAGAACTAGGACGGGGATCCCGTCATGACATTAAGTCAGACAGCGATTACATCTCAGTTTCCCATCAGACGCCGTTTTCGGCTGACATCACGGAATGTAATCCGAGGGCAGCTCAGGGGAATTGTCCGGGGACATACAGGCCTGTTGCAGTGAACGGCGATATGATTAATCTGAGACGTCTTGAGAGAGCAAGCATGAGTGAGTTCACTTGTCTGTGGCAGATTGAGTTGATTAATCACAGACGAATGAGTCGACTGACATTTTCAGATAGATTTTAGGAAGGGGAAAGAAAAAAAGCTCAAGATGAAACGACATGTTAGACCAGGTTTAGACAAAAGACATTTAAAAAAAAAGGCCCATCTTGGGTTTACGTCTAATCCTGATTAACAACATAAATCTTGGAAACAATCATCTTACTGTACATCCATCACATGCACGATACAGCTGACTTTTGCCCTACAGAGCCTGTGCATTCCTACAGGTAGGCGAGATGCACACACGTGCAGTCTCCGCGTTTCACGCCATGAGAAAAAAGCAGCTCTTTCGCTGATGATGCACTACAGCTTTACAGCCATCATGAAGTATGGTTGGTCGCCCCCCCCCCTCTCCTCCTCTCTGAGCCAGCCTGCCTCCACGAATGCGTTAAACGCAACCCAACGCGAGTCGCATAGAAGCTCCGGATCATCCAGACAGGGGCGGGAGGTGTTTGCAAAGAATTGTCCATCAACAAGTCCGCGTCCGCTCGCAGACAAATGAGCTGTCGATCAAAGTTGTCATCCGCTTAAATTGCGATGCAATGCTGCAGCCAGCCAAGCGGGGGAGGGGAGGGGCGGGAGTACCGAGACGCTCAGACGAGATGGAGAGTCGGAGGGAGAGATGGAGGGAGAGATGGAGGGAGAGAGAGGGAGCGTTACGTTACCTTGTGGATGTGCCCTTCCTCACATCGCAGATGCTGCATTTGAACGCCTCGGCGGTGTTCCTGAAGGTGCAGACGCTACAGTCCCAGTACCCGTCGTCAGCGGTCTGTTTGGCTTGTCTTTTTGGCCTGACAAAATGTTAAGGTCAAGTTAGTTTTGTGTGTGTGTGTGTGTGTGTGTGTAAATACCACCAACACGTTTCCCCAATTAACAAGAAACGACATCGCGACGGACACGACGCGTTGTGTAAATGCACAAGGTAGCAAGTGCCGCACAATCCGCGGGGGGGCTGTCATTGTTTTTGGGTTGTTGACCCGTCAGGCGGAGCGCCTCGTTGCGTGAATCCCCTCGGCGGCGAAGCTCCGCGCCGTCCGGTCGTATCGCCAGCTAGGCTGCTAGCGGGCAGGCGGGCGGGCGGGCGGAGCGCCGCTAAAACGCTCGGCGTCGGGGCTTAGCACGTCGGCTAACGAAATCAATATCGGACAATGTCAATTTCGACATTGACCCTCCGAAAGGCTCCGTCGAGGCGGAAGAGCGTTTCGGAGAATGCCAGGCGTCTCCTCCGAAAAAATTCCCTTTGTCTGTTAAGTGACTGTGTAGTGGGGAGCGAGAAGCCGCCATAGTGACGGCACTATTCTAGCTAGCTGTGGCACACCGACCGAAAAAGGGAGAAACGATCCCTGCGTGAGGGAGACGCATCCAAATATCGAGCCCAAAACGCACCAAACTAAACCCAAACGTCGGCGGGCGGTCGGGTTACCTGGTAGGGCTCTTCTTGTCGCCCATGGTGAAGGATAGTCCTCGGAAATAAGCAGAAAAAGGGGCCTCCTCTGAATTGGCAGTTAGTGCGGTGGGTTCCAGATCGAGCCGCTGCTGAGGCTGTTGGCAGACAGGCTGCGCTCGCGCTGGCTCGAGGCACAGCGACTGACGGCGCGGCGCCACGTGACCGCCGGCCGGCCAATGGGAGCGCGGGTCGGTTTAAAAGTCTGGCTGGATGTTTGGCAGCGATTTTAATAACTACGAGAGACTTTGACAGACTTCACCTCACCTCAACCCGCACGCACCTACGAGTAAAGAACTTCTAAAACGCCGTCAAATTGCGCTGCCAGTCAGAGGAGGAAAGAATAAAAGGAAACAATACACAAACGGAAGAAATAATTATAGGTTATTATATAAAACAAAAAAGAGGTGCAGCCAGCACAACCTCTTTCAACAGGTGGAGTTCTGATGAATCCTTGGGTAAAATATTCAGAGTATGCCACTAACTACAGGCAGCCGTCGTGCTAATTTCTGCAGTTATACAATGATTATAAGTAACAATAGGAATCACAAGAGGCAGCAGGAATTTGTTGAGCCTGCAGCCTGCATTAGGTGACACAGAGGAACGTTTGTTTAGACGGTTTAAACATGGCCCAACACCAACACATTTGCACTTAATTTCACATATACGGGGATTTAAAGGACTGTGGGAGGAAGCCAGAGCAGCTGGACATAGAGACTCACTCACTACACAACGCCTGTGATTTAGATGCATTTTATTGTGAAGCAATGTGGCACTTACTCACACACTGAATAGTCATACTGAAACACATCACGCATCGGAACTACAGCCTTTGCACATACCGTTTACTGAACTGAACGCATCAAGCATTTCTGGCTTCTTGATTCCTGCCCTGGACGAGGCTCTCTGGTGAATCGTGGAGGCTCATTAGCCGCCCTCCACGGCTCCAGGTCCCGTTGTGAACCCCTGGCCTTGTCTGATCGGGGTGAACTGCCGTTCCTCTCCTCCGGTGATCACCTTACAGCACGCTGCTCTAATTGAGCTTCATCGCGGTGGCCTACTGATAACTACAATTCAGGCGAGACAACATGAAGACCCGCCTTCGCCGGCTCTGTAATGAGTTTCTGGGAAAACGGGGCTTTCTTTGTTTTGATTTAGCTTGCAAGTTATTCTCACTTGCATCGAGCTCAGCGAGTGGAGTTCATTTGTATTCATAGGCAGGATGAGTTCTGATCCAACAGGTATAAAGAGCATATTAAGGGAGCAACGTTTACTGAAAACAGCTGCAGTGAAGGTAAAGAGAATTGCACTCATGGAGCAGATTCTTCCCTCCCTCATCAACTACACCCTTGAGCAAGGAGCTCACATTACTCGCAGACAATTTCATGATACAACCAGTTAGCCCACGCTCATTATTTACAGAAGATGAGTTTGAACAGTAAACGGAGGGTGACGTACACTGGAATCATTTCAGATTCCACTCGCTTATCCTACAGTCATTTGATGTTTGGGCATAATGTGCTTGTAGAATGCAATGATTGTGTGTTTACATTGTAGACGGAAGCATGTGTGTACATACAGATGTAGTGTGTGTTTATGTACACACACACATTTATATATACACACACAATCACCTATGGCACGGCAAAATGAGGTGACCTTTTCCTCTTTCTGCTCTTTAGGTGGATGAACCAGTGGTTTGTTGTAGGAAAAGATAGAAATACAATGTTCACTTTATTCTGTGTCTGCCAATATTTCCAAATAAAAATATTGTAAAAAGGTTAATTTCACATGCTGAGTGAGAAATATTTTATTCCAGAAAAGTCACTGAAAGTGTGAGTCAGATTCAGAAAAAGTGCCCAGACTGAAAGTGACGGCATCCTTTGCACCCAACAGCACTTAGTTTGAAGCACTTAAATACCGATTGGTGTCTCAAAATAGAAGATTGAGATGGTAGTTCTTCTGGAAACTCAGGGGTTAAAACGGAGTAACACCTGTTTGAAGATCTCACAGGTTTAATGTTGGACATCAGATATCTCCACCGTGTCCACATCTGCACCTCCAAATTCTGGTCCAGTGCCAACGCAGGCGCTATGGGTAGAGAGGATGAATGTTTACATCTTGGGTTACGCTGTGTTTCTAAAAGTAGGATTAAATGGTTGTACGTACGGTGCTTGTTCTTCAATCATCTCTGCAGGAGGACATCGATCGTGTGCGCTTTGGTTGATCACGTGAAAAGGGACAGAAGAGAAAGCGTGAGAGAAGAAGCTCACACCTTGTCGCACCATTTAAAGTATCGGCCACAGGTGCCAAATATGAAGTTGAATAATGTGAATAATAATGTAAAGAAGTGGGGGGAGGGACGGGGGAGGGACGGGTAGCGAGTCAGACTTTGAGAGAGAGAAGACCAAAGTTTGCATCCCATCATACACCTGCAATTACAATTTACCTTCCATCCCCTGACCTCAAGCGGGTCTTCTTGATGCATAAGAATAACCAACCTTTGCCCAAAGTGCACCGGCCGTGACAGCGACCCATCACAGAGAGCACTTCCGCTCACTTCCAGACTGGGTTTTTCAAATTGGTATTCAATCTGCGTTCATTTGAACGGGAAGTGGTTTAAACTAAAATGAAAAAAGAGAGCTTGAAGGAGAAATTCAGACCTTTCTCGAGTCCTGATTCTGATGCGGGAAAGATGTCGAGCGAGGGACTTCGGTGGAAGCACATGCTACAAGTTGCCACGTGAAGATGTTGTAGAAGATGCCGAATCTTTGACACTGTTCGGGATCCAGGTCTGTGCTGAATGTGTAGGGTTAGGGCCACACGGGGCCACAACGCAATGGTTCCAGGTTGGGGAATCGCATGGGGATCACAAATTTAGCCTGCCAAGAATCTACTGTCATGACCATAAGATAATCGACCAAATACTGCGAGCAAAAATACGTCTAATATCAGAAATAACCACCAGTCAAGGTCTTTTCAACATTAAATTCTCAACTCTGTGCGGTGATGATCGTATACGGGCGATTGTTCAAAAGGAGGATCCAGTCGAAACTGGGGTGTGTGGCAATTAAACTCAGTGAGGAATAAATTAGCGCAGCACCTTAAACGCATGTCCTTTTGCCTCAAGTGCTTCCGTTTGTCCTGAGCGTTCAGTGTTGAACCCGAATCTTCTGGAAAAACCGCCTGTGCGACTCCTCCTCCGTAGCTCACTGTGTAAATTCAACACGCCGCTGAATCATTTATGCCGGCACACAACAAAAGATGCCAGGCCACGTATCTGCCCGGGGAGCAGGCCCACAGAAGGAGGGGCGTTGCTTCCATCTCCGTCTCTCTATGTCCATTTCGCTCTGTTTACTTGTTCCTCCAAGAAAAAAAAAAAGCCCATTGAGAAACTGAGCAGTGGAGATAAGACGGAGCGGAGGAGCAGAAGTGGGAGAATTGGCTGCTAAAAAGGCAGCGGGACGGCAGATTGAGGACGCTCACGCTCGCTGGCGCTGCTCCATACGCACAGAGGAGAGAAGTGACGTTTGATTAATCATCTCTCACAGAACCCCCCCCCCAATAACATTCCCCAATCGATATGCATCGCACGCCAGCAGAGAAGACACGCTGCTTAAGAACACGGCTTTAAATGATTCAGTGCCGTCTTCTGCACGTCTGAATTCCCAGTTCTTGTTTGACTTTTGTGCAGAATACGTCCCCCATGGTACGTCCCCCATGGTACGTCCCCCATGGTACGTTCCTCCCACGCCTACTAATTAGGCCGTTTGTCTTCTCCTCCCAGCGATGCTTCCTTTGTCATCGCGAGGACGAGTCACCTCTGGGCTCGGCCTGCTGCCGCGTCCGTCCCAACTCCACCACGTTGACCACTTGACCTTTCACCTGCAGGTCCGTGTGAGTCCACGTCTTCTGCCCCTCTCTGTCACCTTTTTGTACATTTATTGCTCTTACCCGGACCTGGTTTCAAAGCGCTTTCTTGCAACGTTAGACATATTTAGTCTTCTGACAGGGCAGATACCAGCACCCATCACCCTCCTCACAATGACGTTTGCCTTCAGCTAAATCAATGAAAGAAACTCCTGGTGAATAATCCTTCTGAAGTCAGACTCATTGTGATGATAAGTGAGGTGGAATGAGCTGACGGTAGATTTCTTTACAGGAGTCTTCGCTGCCTCTTCGTTTTCTCGTGTGTGTGGAAGGCTCACACGTACCCATGCGCACATGCTCCCCCCCCCCCGACTCTCCCCCCAAATCCCCTTCTCTCTTACTGCCATCTCCATTTCCACGTCCGTGCGCGGCGATGCATGCTCTGTGCGCCTGCATCTTGTGCGCGTCCAGTCTGAGTTTAATGCGTGCTGATTGTCCAGCGGTGGCGCCCCGGCGGATTTGTGTGTGAGCGTCCACGGGAGGGTCGGGGGGGAGGGTGGGGGAGGGTGGCGGAGGACACTGTTTCCTTCAGCGTTGGAATGTCTTCATGCGTGTTCCTGTTTGGAGAGACGTCTGCAGGAAACCACATGGTGCTTACACTGGGGCCGATAAGAGGAAGAGGAGGAGGAGGAGGAGGAGGAGGAGTGGGATTGTGGCGGTGGGACGGGGGGGGGGAGGGAAAGAAAGGGGGGCTTTAGTAAACCTTCAGGAAGGTAGATTATCCCACGAAATGCTGGCAGAGCTTCAGCCTTTGTGCACGCCTGTTGTGCGTGTACGTGCATGTGTGTGTGTGTGTGTGCATGTGTGTGTGTGTGTGTGTTTTGAGTAGAGAATAAAGAAAAAAAAAAACAGCGGCTCCTGAGTCTCAATGAATCCGGGCCAGGCTCCACAAAAGGGGCTGCAGAACAAAAGGCCTGCAAGCTGAGGAGGTGCAGCGTGGAGGCGCAGCCCGATCTCACGCTTTGTTAACCCGCCGACATTACAGCGAGTAAAAACTGAGACGAGCGCCTCGCTTGTCAATTACCTGCCTGTTGAACACAGAGCTGACCGCTCGACACCTCAGGCGGCGCGACCGGTTTACCGACGCATTGGGTTAATGAATGTGTGTCGCAATGCCGAGCACACGCGGAGAAAAGAGATTTGTTTTCAAGTATCAGAAATCATGTTTAGTGGAGAAATTTGTATCAAGCAAAGAAAACATTATTGAGAGCAAATGAAAGTCTTTTGTCTCCAATCCAAGGGAGCGCGGCGGGAAAACCATGAAACGAGTTAGCATGTTTGCACGACCACCCGTCTACAAGTCATTACGCCCTTTTACTCATAAGCCTTGAAATACGGTCCGTAAATATTCCACTCGTGAGTTTCAAAGCTTTTACTTCTCTTATGGAAGTGATTGCTAACAAGTAGCTAAATGCTTCTAAACTTCAGGCCAAAGCAAAGTGATGTGAACATGGCGTGGTTCGTTTCTTAGATTTTTACTTTGATCGTATCCTGAAATCAAATTTATTGAGATCATATTGCTCATGAAAACAAGTATTATGTCAACAACGTAAATACTTCTTTGCCTAAAAATGATACTTTCTTCTGTGTTCAAAAATTCAGAATTCTAAGCCAAGTATAATTAGCTTTCTGGCTCCGTGTGACGTTGTACTTTATCACACAGTTCATCAGGGGGAATCTACAGAGATAACGAACCTAGTTCATGCACAAAGAGACGGGACCAATGAGACGGGATAGAAGGGTCGCCGTGGGGTCGCCGTGGGTCACCAATCTCTCTTTAGGGTCCCGCCTCTCAGAGAGTGGATGAACCAAATAAAATGTCAAACATGCACAATTCAGTCAGTTCAGTGTTTTATTTTTACCCCCTATAATAAAATTGCATGGGCGGAGCTTCACATGTCCAACCACAGTGCATAGTAATTCCCTCAAGTGCACACACACACACACACACACACACACACACACACAATCCAGGGGATTATAAAGCGCAGGCACTTGGGAAAGGTTCCAGGCGACCCCGGCTGATGTTTGTGGTTTTCTGTGACTGGATCCAGCTGTTTGGAGCCGCAGAATGCCCCGAGAGGCGCAGTCAATTTGGCAGATTAGCGTATTGACAGATGGCGTGCCATCCATCCAGCAATCAATATGCGCTGTTTTAATCCCTCCCCATGTTTACCCAAGAACGTGGATGCAGAAGCGCCGTTTTCCCACCGTCGCATTACATTCTCACCCGCTGCAGGAATCCCTTTCTGGGCATCGAAAGCAGCACTCTGCCCTCACCCAGAGGGTGACGCGCTCCCCCTCTCTGGGAGCGGGGCGGCCCAATCGAGCAATCAGACAAGACATCCATCACCATCCCGTGGGGTGGAGTAAATGACCTTGATGTAGTCTTCACACTCAATTTCAGATACCCTTGGGCTCCATTATGAGGGGACTTAAGCGGCCGGCCTTCACATTTGATTCCTGCGATACTCAATGTGATGAGTCTGTGACGCTGCGCGGAGGAAGAGGGTAACTCGGGAGGAGGAACAGGGAGGAGGAGGGGTGAGTCAGCAGGTGGTGAAAGCGAGGCATGGAAATTAAGATGGAGTAAGAGGGCTCCGGGAGATGAGAGGAGGAGATGGTCGGAAGTAGCTGGAAGAGCGAGCACGCTGATGAAGGAGGATGGATTGCTCTTCAAGGACTTTGCCCAGAGCGCTGCCTCAAAAAACAACGGTACTCCATGTAGAGTAGAATATAAGGGGGGGTTAGACAGGGGGGGGTAACAACAAGATCTCAAGAGGAATCCATCCAACAGCCGCAGCACATGATTGAATTTAAGCATCTGGGAACAAGAACGCTCTGAGGCGGAGAAGAAAGGGAGCCCCGAGGGGGAGGAGAAAAAGAGCACATACGGATCAAAACGTGTTTGCATATCAAAAAACACACACAGGAATGTTGTCCTAGAATCCAGATCCGCAGACACACAAAAAAAGTGTGTTATGTTGTTTTATCTGAAGCGATCCGGACAATGTTTTCCTCTTCATCTCCACTTTGACTGATCCTTCAAGTCCTACCTGCCATGGAGGTACCAGACACTGCCGGGCTCAGCAGCCGCGGAACGCCGCTCCCCCCAGCAGGGGTCCGCCTGAGGAACGGCTGTGAGTGGCATCATGAACAAAGGTCATGTTTGCTCACAGGGAAATTATACACACGTTGTTGTACACGTGACATCCTCGCCCGGGGGGAGAAACCTGCGGATTCCTTTGACTTAATTAAGCGGCTGCTGAGGGAAACGCTCGAGTTAAACAAGCATGTAAATAAGATTAACATCATGGTGGCGAATCATCACAGAGCGTACAGCGGATAGAGGCGCCTCGATTCGCTGTCCTCAGCTGTGCTTTTCCAGTTATCTTTTGCCTTTAACAATTCTATCGTTCCAAGCGAAAAGGTCTCGTAATGCAAATTGTTTTTCTCTATGTGTGGATGACCATTAAAACAAAGTGGACAAACTAGCCCACGCAACGTGGCTGGCTTCACCGGGCCGGTTGCTCTGACAACAAGTGCAGATAAACTCAAAGCCAGCCTCACAACGTCATTCGCTATTTGCAATTATTTGGGCACATTTTAGTTTGGACCGGTTGGTGCTGGTGGAAACATTATACGGGACGTACATGTTTGAACTAAATCTGATGGAATTACACCCTTTTCTGTCCAAAGCATGAATGCCACGTGAATGAGGACTGACTGAACATTTCCAAACCGCTCATAGAACTCGACTAAAAACATCAGATTCCTGTCCCATCATTGCCAATCAAAGGGAACAGGATTCTTCTACCTGTTTGATAGAGTGGAAACACGGCAGAAAGCTGTCTGCACGTATCGCCAACGCAGCTTATCACCAGGAAGGAGGGTCAAAGCACTGCCGGATAAACCCTCCACTAACAATCCCACATTGCACGAGCAATTTGTGGTCATAACATTGTGAGAAGGTCTGTCATGTGAGGAGAGACACACCATTAAGAGTCGAGCAGCTGTGTCAGATCAGGCTTTCACACAGCCCACTGCTTTGTCACGTCAGAGAAAGGTTGCAGCTTGTCTTTGTCCATCGGAGCGAGTGTTTGCACAGCGGCAAACAGGCCCAGGGCAGGTTACGAGCGGCGCGCTCATCCATGTAACTGTGACATATAAATATACTACAGGGAGGCTTCTACCTCTCGGCCTTGCAGGTGACAGCGGAACCATCTCTTGTTGTGAGCTGGTCCTGCAGAAGACAAAGCGAACGTCCCAGCGGAGGAAAAAACGCATTACAAGAAGACGACGCTAAATAAGATCACACTCTAATAATAAATAAATATAGATTTATTCCTATAGAGTCTTTTTCTGAGCATTGGAGGGGACTTTTCTTCAAAGCACATCGTATCTTGTCGTGAGATATTTGGCAAGTGAGCATCTAAGTTTAAGTGACGCAGCGATGATGGGAAAGCTCAGACATCATTACTGCACTGCTTCCTTTGACAAAAGCCAACGGAATCCTATCGAGGAATTTGGGATTTGTGCAAAATACAAACTCACATCCTTTCTATTTAAAGTCTCTCGACACAAATTGAAGGAGACAAACTGAGAGAGGGTGAATACATTGACCTGGAATTCAATCCCATATAATTAAAACTGATGGATTGATTCGTTAATAGGGCATTATTTGCCAGCATTTAAAGACACTTACTGATGGGTTTGGAGTTGTCTCAGGTATCTCCCAGCAGTTACGCTTAAGGCATTTAGTTCAGGAGTTCATCAGGGGGGTCAGGTCAGCTTAGGGTTCATTAAGGTCAGGATTATGGTCTTCGCACTCGGGTTTCCTGCAGGAAAAGACAGCTGTCCTAGAAACTGATCTTGTCTAAGCCTGATCAAATAAGAAAAGAGAGGTATGCACCCACCTTCTAAAACTGATCTGATCGGGATCAGAATTATATTCTGGGCTTTTGTGTCTGTCACAGAGGTTGGCAGTATACAAGAATAAGAAAAATGATGACGGACTTTGTAACGAAATGATGCGTCAGTTTTGGCTCCCCGAGATCACTGAAGGGCCCTCAACGCAATTCTGCCTTTAACGGGTCATGAAACAAGGTCATGTGATTACTTTCTAGTTATAGCAACTTCTGTGGCACAAGGAAAAAATATCCTGCTGATGTAAAACACGTCCAACCGATGTCCAACTTACCCGTCTGTTTCCCAAAGGATGAATCCCTGTGACAATATTCACATTCGTGATGAATCAGCTCAAATCAGTTCAGGCAATTTACTTCAGTCCAATACTTTGATTTAGGATGAAATACCTGCAAAACAAATAACAATCCAATCATTTGTGTTCATTAACACCAGTCAACGCGGTGCGGATGGTAAACACATCCGCTAAGCATTGACATTAAGTCTTACTGAGCATGTTAGCAACTAAATGTCTAACGTCCAAACACATAATCGATCCAATGGATCAGTGAAGAATTGATCCGTTCAAAGTCAACAAATGTCACGTGTTTTACTGCTAAGATGCCGTCAAGATGTCATCAATTAAAAACTGCTAAGCTGAGGGTACGTTTTTCCTTTGTATTGTGCACGCAAAGGGCAGTGGACCTCCAGCATGGTGAGATAGGAAAGGATTACTTGTATGAACCAGCTAAGAAGCTTAGTTACAGCATTTAAAAAACGCTCGCGCTGAGTCAAAGGCTGAATGGGACACGTCCGCACCGATGGGAGAGCAAGCAGATGATCATATACATCTTTGCAACGTGCACATCAGAGTTGTTGTTGTTGTCCTAATGAAGTCGCAGTGAAGAATCTCTCAGCAGCGCAGCATCATTTCCTTATTCGGTCCTAAATAGACATCATCTCACAGCTTGGAGGATGACAAGATGCTGGTTTTCTCTCCAAGCTGGTGTCCAAATTCAAGGTCTGTTCTCGATTAGAGCTTGTCAGCACGCCTGCTGTCACGCGCTGGCATCCTCCGACAGGCTGGACGGTTGTGAGACGGCCAAGATGCACGTCTCCAAGAAGGAGCCTGTTGGCCCCAGACTCTCTGCTATATGTTGCACTCCATCGCTCAATCTCTCGCTCTGACACGGACACCGAGGATCACATACTGTGATTCACTCACTGCGGCCTTCTCTGCTTCTGAGACGTCCCTCTGAATGCTTGGCTCTTGTTTTGCTCCTTGACATGTAAAACGAGCATGGAGGGGAAATAAGCAAAGTCCAACATATTAAATCAGGGAAAACGGGATCCATAATAATCCATCGCTTTACTTCCTTTGGATGAAAGTGCTTTGAAAATGTTTTTTTCCTTTTGCTGTGGAAACAACAACGGATACTAATGTATGTACCTTTATTTAAAGCTACTCAGCATGTGAGGACATGGAATCATTTGCCATCGAATGTTTTTTTTCTCTTCTGGCAGCTCACTGCTTTACTTCTGCAGCTTTATTCCACTGGGTTTACTAAACGAGAGCAGCAGTTTGTTCTGAATAATGAGCCTTTGTTTAGCAAATCCCTCTTGACCCCTTAAGGCGAAATGACACATTATCTCATATTTTTCTACACTTGGAAAACGTCGTGCCTGTCCTGACTTTACCGCCGGGCCGAGGGAGGAATGTGAAAGCACACGAGTACATCGGCCAGTGATGCCAGCATCCCGATGTGTGAAGGCCGCTGACTCAACCGCAGAGACGCACGCAGTCCATGTTAGGGCTACACACTCAGGGCTTGGACATCTTTAAGAGGAACATGCACCTTCAGGCCAGACTTTCTCCCCAAATTGCATCCAACCTATTAAACTTAAACTCTTGTCTTTCCAAGCATGTGGGAGAACCACGTGGACCTTCGGGTAAGGAAGACGTCTCAAAGGGACTATTTAGAGCCGGTGCTTGGTCCTTCTGGGTTGCTGTAGAAACATGGCGGATTTAGTACCTTGAGCTCCATATGTAGATAACTGCTCATCTAAGCAGATGAGAACAGTGATTCTTAGTTTCAGGTTCACTAATGAATCGTTGTTAATGTTATATCCCCTTTCTGCCAATAAATCCCCCAAATCCAACACACTGTTCCTCCAAGATCTTTTGAGTGGGAACGTCTGCAACACGACCCAGGAGGCAGCGTGAGTCTCTAGTTAAATGTCAAGCAAACTGTCTGCTCACTATGAACCAAGGAATCTCTGCATGTCTGCATGTGTGCATGTGTGCATGTGTGCATGTGTGCATGTGTGCATGTGTGCATGTGTGCATGTGTGCATGTGTGCATGTCTGCGTGTCTGCGTGTGTGCATGTGTGTCCTTCACATACCTCTTTAATCGTTCAGCCGGTGCACTTCCCAGTTGGCTGGTGTGCAGATGCCCCCCGAGGAGCTCAAAGCTGGTGCAATTAGGACGCGTTCAACAATAATAAACTTTAAACGCGGCGCTGGGAGCAGAAGCAGGGGGCGGGGCCTCAGGGCTTCTTACAGCATTCACTATCGCTGCTGGTCATATTCAGGTAACTCCGCTTCCCTCGAGTCAACGCGCAATATGGTTCCAGAGCAAGCTGTCGGCTGCGCTTTCTGAGGGTAATGGACACTGCACTGGTCTGCTCCTGATCTCCATGATAACCAAAGGCACCAGCGTGGAGCCGGATCCCAGAACAGTCGCTATTCTTACCAACATGTTTGCAGCATAAAACAGTGATACAAGGTTGGCAGAATAAGCTGTATTCACATACTGAGAACATTCCTGAAGAAACATTTCTCCTTGCTTCAAAGCACCAATGCAAACAACCAGCACGGCTTCAGAGAGCAAAGTTCTCCCAAGTCGTTTGGACTCAAGGTCCGATGAAGTAGCCACTCAACCAGGGTTCACAGGTCAACAGCGTTGCAAGTAAACAAATCCACCAACAGTCCTGCAAGTGGTGATCTGACGGCTTCCTCCCTCCTACAGAGTGCAGAGTCCTCGCTGCTGCAGATACATTTATTCCACCTTATCTTATCTGATCTGACCCTGTTCCCACTGCTCCACGCCGCAACAACTTATGCAACATGCGTATTCCATTGCTCCGATGTCAGAGAAATCCACTGATCTGCAAGTCACGTGGTCATGGACGTCGGGGGGGGCGAGGCCTTACAGTCTGCGTTAAATGTACCAACGCTTTAGTCGCTTTCAGCTTTTCCCCAAATCTGCTTCTTTGATGAGACTTTCCAACTAGAAAGTTCAGACGGACCTTTTCTAACAGACTTTCCTCTTTTCTTCCCCGTAAGCTCCCACGTTTCACCCGCCCCGTCGATGCCGCGTGTCGGCTGGAAGTCACGGCGCTGATGTAATCTACACGTCTCCGCGCCAGAGAGCAGCGATTGAAACTCGGCGGGTGGCCGATCCGTGACATGCTGACAGGATCGGCTTGGAGACGCATGTGAGGGTATCTGCTTTCATGTAACTCACCCCGGGGGGAGGAGGTGTGGTGGGCTGGGAGGCCAACGTGTGCGATGTGCGATGTGTGTAGCGGTTGAAAAGTGGTGGGATGTGCACGGCTCGGCTGACGCCACGTGAAAGACATCCGGCGGAGTAGTCGGGTGGAGATAAGAGAGAAGGCCAGAAGTGAGAGTGTGGGGTGGGATTCGGGGGGGTGACAGAGCGTGAAATAGAAAGAGCAGGTTAAAGAAAGTGCGGCAGACGAAGGGGGGGAAGAGAGGAGGAGGACGGTGAGGGTGGAAAGTCCACGGGTTTGTTTGCTTGCTTTCGGACACGTCAACAGAAGCAGATTTAATAAAAGAGGAGGGAGTGTGCGTCTGTGTCGACTCCCGGGAGCTTCTCATCTCTGTGTCGGCGGCGTCGGGGGAAGCTTTGTTCACCGCCTGGTTGGAACAAGGCAACATCCGGGAGGCCTCATTAGTCCGACGCTCAGCCTCGCCGGGGGAGGGGGGGGAACCGTCCCGCGAAACCCGAGGCCGAGCGAACCCCGACATCACTTCTTCCTCTGAGAGGCAGACGATTTGCATCTTGTTGACATCGACCAGCCGAGCTTCCCTGAGCTTTGTTTGGATTTCCCAACCTCGCTTTCGCTTTCGGAAGTCACGAAAGGACTCAACTTCGCGAAGAAGCCGGACGGAGGCAAACTACACCGCGCGGCCGTCGCTTGGTTGTTCCCAACTCCCTCAGCCCCGTTCTCTCGCTGAAACACTGACCACGTTTGACAGCTGTTTTAGCTGCAAACAAAACCACACACTGGCTCAGATGAGGAACAACTGCAGAGTGAATACTGGGATATCGGGCTTGCGGCGGCGGCGCAGTCGGTGCAAACAGCCCCATTAGAAGAGTTTACCTGTGCGAGATGTTGAGGAGCTGCAGCTCCGTGACGGCGCCCGCTGAGCAGAACACATGAAGTTTAAAGAATGGAAGAACCTCCGTGTGTTGCTGCTCATCCGCGTAACTCTCCTCCACTTTGACATCCAGCGACATCCAACGCACTTAACAAGGTGGTAGAACACACACACACACACACACACACACACAGACACACACAGACACGGCAGAGGCAATTTGCAGCATTAAGCCGCCTGATAGCACATGTCCACCGAGAGTTAGCGAGTGATTTAACGGACATTGCTCACACCAATTAGAGTGAATCTACTGACGTCAAGTGGATGCCGCCACTGTCAACACACGCGCACACTTCCACACTATGCGGAACTGGGGGTATTTCCATGTTCCTTTTGTGGTTAAGAGCATGAAAATAGCCAATTTAGATAATCCGTCCACCGTCAGAGACACTGGAACGTCCCATGCTCTCATTCCCCCGTTAACAGGCGGCGGTCACTCACGAGGCGGCGGACGACAAAAGCCAGAAGGACGAGGCGAGCAGCAGCAGCCACCTGCTTCCCTTTCTTCTCTTTCTGTCTTCTGGAGCGCCGGAGCTCCGCGTCTCTCCGCCGGCCGAGCGACACGACAAAAGGCCACGTGGAGGGAAAGAGGGAAGCACGGGATTCCTATCTGCACGCCCATTGGGGGTCGGGAGGGGGTCACCTGATTCATTTCTGCTTGAGGGCTATTAATCTTTTCAAGTACCAGAATCACTTTGGCTCTCAGCAGAGGAGATTGAGTTTTCTATTACAATCAACCGGAGGCAGCGCGTCGCCGCCCTTTCCTCTCGGTCAGAACGTTCCTCTTTGATTGTGCCTGTAGTTAGGGCTGGCTCAGGTCAGCCCGGACCAGCCCTTAGTTAAGCTGCTATAGGCTTAGACTTCTTAGGACACACCGAGCTCCTCTCTCACGCTCTCCTTCTACCATAATCCACGTTTTATTAATGGACATGACTAATTCAGCTTCTTTCCGGGAGTTTTTTTTGTGCTTTCTCCCCTAGCAGGTCCCCGTAGATCGTGGTTCCTTCTGGACCCTGGTCCTAACATCTGCCGTGGCCCTGCTGACGCCTGCTGCTGCCATCATCAACATCATTATTATTTTAGATATTAATCATATTACTGTACTCATAAACCAACATTACCCTCTCCTAAAGTCTCTGTGCTGTCCCTCCCCACAGGCTTCTGTGGATGGTGGTTCTATCTGATGGTGGTTCTATGTGATGGTGTTTCTATCTGATGGTGTTTCTATGTGATGGTGGTTCCATGAGGTGTTCTACTGGGTTTAGGTCAGGTGATTGGGAGAGTTGACATGGCCAAGAACCTTGCCCCTCCTCTACTCGGCTCACCCTCGAACTTGTGCTCCCTGGTCGTTGTGGCGAACGGGTAGAGACGGTGGTTTGAGCCCCGGCTGCCCCAGGTTGAAGAGTCCCTGAGCAAGACACCTGACCCCTAAGTGCTCCCGGGGCAAAAATGAAAAAAAAAACATGGGATGAAAATGTAATGTAAGTTGCTTTGGATAAAAGCGTCAGCTAAATGACCTGTAATGTGTGTATATATATATATATATATATATATATATATATATATATATATATATATATATACGCAGCCTGCCCTTATATGGCAGGTGCTGTTGCTAATGGGATAATTATCCCAGTGGCCCACATGAGTCCTCAACACATTACTCCACTTTCTTAGACCCTTGAGGGTCAAAGTGCACTTTCACTACACCAGTAAAGGGCTGATTTATCAAATCCAAGTGAAAACAGAGCATAGACATCACATTTATTACCGCCCTTGTATAATTTATCAGCTACATTCATTAAGAGCAGCGGGCTCGTCTCTTGAAAAATGTCCGTCGGCGAGGAGCATTAATTGCAGAGGAACCGAGCGAAGTGGCGCTGGGCCGCGGATCCCCGGTCAGGCTCCCAGACAACTGCGCTAATGTGGGGGGGGTGGCGGCCACTTTAAAATGACAAACGGCAGGCGAGCTCGGAGTCACTTAATGAATGTGAAACCCCAGCGGGGGAGCAGGAGAGCGCCACCTGGGGGAGCAGTGCAGCCTCCAGACAAGCGCTCCCAAAGGGGTCGCTGCAGGGAGGTCGTCTCTCAGGAGGTGTCGTAGCAACGCCGTCGACCTCAGTAACACAAGTTACAATGTAAAAAGCCAGCGGCAACAAATCCATTTCTCAATTAATGAACCCGAGGCCAATCTGGGGACACACATTAAACTCTTTATTATTGTACCGCAGGGTGGGTGGATATCGGTGCAGCCAATGTATGGGTGTCACATGTCATGTTTCGGCTGTCCTCGGGGGGGGGGGGGGGTCTCTTATTGCTCAAAAACGAACTGGCTCAGAGGCCTCATCCATCTGCCTGACATGTGACTCCATGTTTGTTTCTCTCGCCGAGTCGACAGCGCTCAGACGTCCGGGCCCCAGGAATCAATCTCCCCCGTCTCCCTTACTTCCCCCATGAAGCCAGGCTCTGGGAGAGCGCTTACAGCCTTTATTCGTTGGGAAAAGAAAGCGCCATGAAAGTAACTCTGAAAGCACCTCGTCTGTCAATCGCTGCGCTCGGAACAACCCTCCTGTTCGGTTCGGTCGAGCCCAACATGCATTTATCATGCAGTTTGTTACCACGGCGATACAGGAGAGAAGTCAGCGGGTCTAGTTCAAACTACTGGAATTACTTTCAATAAGTAAAAAACTCAAGCATGTTCAGTGAGGGAAAAATATATTTGCAGAGGACGTCTCTCCCAGTAGCACGAAAGTCAGATAACACATGAGGCAGAAGACGGCAACCACAACAAAATGAAGTAAGCGGTTGAGAACATTCATAGTATCCTTCTTTATAGACAATGAGGTCCTTTAGATCAAGATACACAGAGTCAACAGTCGGCGGTCTTTGCGGATCCACCGCGGCGCCTCTCAGAGGACCACGTCGCTCTCCTCCCGCGTTGCCACGATGAGCAGCGGGTTTCTGCTCGGCTCCAACAAAGTGCCGCCGACGCTCCCCGACGTTCTCTCTGCTCCGTGGCGGCTGGAGATCCTCAGCTCCTCCTGCATCTGCTCCCCCAGCTCCTGGATCAGCAGGCGGGAGCCCTGTGAGGCAGAGGGGAGGGTGCTCGCGGGCGCCCGGGGGACGGGGGATGCAGCCAGGGCGGGTGGGGGCTGCGGAGGGTTGTCCTTAGACGTCCCCCCTCCTTCTGCTCCGCCCCCTCCCTCCTTGGATTCGGTGCAGCTTTGCCCTTCAGCCTCTGATTCCTCGCTCTCGCCAGACGAGTCACCACTGCTGCTGCTGCTGTGGGATATCGGATCGCAGTCGGAGGCTGCTCCATCTTCTTCTTCCTCCTCCTCCTCTTCCTCGGCCACGATAGTTGCCGCCTCCTCGAGCTCCTCCAGATCCAGCCCCGAATATTATATCGCAGGCAGGCGTGCTGTAACGTCTTCGGCAAGGGCTGACGTCTTCTTGGACCTTAGGAGATAAAGGGAAGACAAATGAGGACCCAGTTTGTCACTCGGCTCGATGAATGTGGTGACAGGACGGCGCAAAGAGGGAGAACGAATGACTTCATCAGAGGTCCCCACGAGAGAGTGATGGACTGGCTCTGCGTGCTAAAGACATAACCACAGGATAACCATCTACAAATCTAATACCCATTAACCGTATCGCGCGCTCATCTGAATGCCAAGTGAAATATGGAAATATGGATGTTTAATAATGTAGGGAGATGAGCTGATACCCGGAGCTCGCGCTCCCCTCCCACCGCTGCTCTCCCTGCGAGAGATGATAAGAGGGGGATTACACAGAGGGTGAGGAGGGGGGAGACAGACCCCTCCCCCTCTCCTCCGCATTCAGTCAGAGGCAGCGAAAGGCGCGGGAGGGGGACGCAGGGTAACAATCAGAGGAGCACTTTCTATTTACAGATTGAATGTTTAAATGGATCCAATAGTCTAAAGACGCGTTTCCACCAGGACGTTTGCGACGCCCGGCGGCGTCCGTCCATGTTTCGTTGGCAGCTTTTATGACCTGCAGACGGAGGGCGGCTGCTGGAGGTCGCAGAGGTCAGGAGCCTGCAGCTTATTGTTACAGCCTTTACTGCTGTGAAGGGCAGAGGACCAACAGGACACCAACAGCATCCGCCTCCAAAAGGGACCGTCGAGTGTTTGATGGTTATTTAGTTACTTAGAACGCGTTATTCGCTCATCGCTCCCTGTATTTTTAAATATGAAGCCTGGAAGCCGACAGCGATACGCCCCCCTCGTACTGAAGTGAACCCGTAGTCCTCCTGGCTTCACGGTTATGAACCGGTCTTCATGGAAGTGGAAGAAGTGGCACTGTGTGTGTGTGTGTGTTTGACCAATAAACCAACGTCATCCCCATAAATCCCACCCTGAAAGGTCTTCTACCTTTAGAAAGTACTACAACACAACCGGGGCCTTTCTGAGGCGGTAGAATATCCCTGGGAGATAAATGCAACTTTGCCCCCTTTAAACGCAACAAAGTCCAGAGAGCTTCCTGGTCTCTGCGGGGTGCAGCTGGAGGAAGCACATGGAGAATAAATCCTTCAAACTGAGTCTGAATGTAACAGATCCAGAATGCAGCCAAAGGCCTGCACACAGATTGAGATGGAGAAGGTCCAGGTGAGGCAGCGCATTAAACCACGTTGCTCAGCTTCAGCTCTGCAGTTGTGTCCCCAGCGAAGACGCAGGGGACTCCTTGAATGGAGGGAAGGTGATTTATTGCATTCCAATGTCCTCCCACAAGGCCATCAGATAGTTGGGGGGCTCCTGCTTGCACATTATTCACGCTGGGGAGGCCCGCCACGCTGGCTGCCATTCGCCGCCCGGCGGGGTGTGTGACCTGCCCCTATTGCCATGGCGATTACTAGATGACTCCTGCGGGTCACTGTGATTCAGATTAGGTCCATTCAGGGTGGGATAAAGTGTGTGTGTTTATGGAGGGGCTACTAGCCCCCTCTGGCCCAATTAACCCTCTGCTGAGCGCCGGCCCATTAGCGCAGAGACCTAATGAGCTCCTATTCTGGGGAGCGAGCGGTTTATGGAAGCCGTGTGCGGGGGGGGGGGCTACGTAAACACATCTCAGAGTGGAGCACACTAATAATCTTGTTCAGCGGGGAGCAGGGGCCCTTTGTGAGAAGATGCCCTTTCTCACATGGCGCCCTTAAGCCAACAATGCTTAGGAATAAAGCGATGAATTAGAGTAGTTAGAGCAGCTGGACTGCGCGTCCTGTTCGCTGGTAACTCGGGCTCATGTCAGGAAACAAACATCTGAGGCTGACGGCGAGGATTCCTCAGCCTCTCAGCTCCAAAGGGGCTTGATGGCATCACCAAAGTGCGGCTGTATCAAATCCCAGCGGGTGTCGTCCCAGCGTCTATGTGGGGGACGTTGATTTTCCAATTTATAGAGGAGCACGTAAACGCACCACAAATTGATTGGTGGAAATTAAAAGACGGGACACTTTGCTAACCTCCACACACGTAGAGCAGAAACCAGTTTCCCGTACAGGGATCCCAGGGGGGTCCCAACCCCCCCGTCCGCCCACAGGTTGGATACCACGGGGAAACCCACTGCTTTCATTCTTTGGGGTTCCGCGGTCTCAGCGTGTGAAAGCCACCAAACACCAGGCAGAACTTTTTAAACAACGACAAACGCCCCCCTCCCACACCCACTACAGGATATGAAGACATAAAAAACGCTGCCCTGGCTAATGACGACCAGTGTGTGCAGGCCGCGTGGAGCCCGCTTGGGGTCCCGGGCTCCTGCAGGAGGCAGAAGAACCTCCTGCAGCAGCGACACTTCAAAGACGGCGCTGGATTCTCTTTCCCCCGTGGGAAGTCATTATTGGGTTAGCATGGGGGAGGCGCGCTTGTTTTCCCTCCCTCCTTTGCTCCGTGGTTGGAGAAGCTCGGCCTGCGGTGAACACAAAGGCTCTGGCCGGGAGGGGGTGGGGGGGAGGCGGGGGCAACGTTGTACACAATCCAGTCATTACTGCACCGCTGTTGTGGCTCGCCTTCATTAGGCCGAGGAGCGCCGGCTTCTTCAAGGTCGGAAAACTTCTGTCGAGACAAAGACGCCTCCATCTGCTCGAGCGTTTAGGTAGAGATGTGTGTGTGTGTGTGTGTGTGTGTGTGGTGTAGCCGTAGCTGAATTACAATCGAAGGTCTCTTTCATCGGTGTTCATTGTAACTGCGACTCAATCAGCAGACGAAGCTCCGTCTCAGACACACATCTGTGTAACGCGAGCGGCGGATTTGCTCGGCGCCGCTCGCTCGCCGAGGGGATGAAAGGCGACATCGGGAGATGTGATCCGTCAGTGTGACGGAGCGCTGGAGGGGCTGAGGCACTGGATGCTTCCATTCCAGAAATGAGAAACGCAGATGTATTTATTCAACACGCCGGCGTTCATGCTCAGACCATTAAAATACTTTCTGTACTGTACAAACACTGATTTGTCATAAATGTCTGTTGCCTGTCAGGTACGGATGCTTTTTCTTTCTGGGGAACTGGATTTTCTATCAGATGTAATAAAACCGATTGATCTTTAAAGGTTCTACTGAAATGCAAAGAATCTATTCTAGTTCATAGTATCCGTAAACATCCACTTTCCTTTTCTCTCGACACACATTGTACATTTATTCATTCGTGTTCCCCAGAGCACGAAGCATCACGGGATCATGTGGACAGATCGCCATCAAACGATGAGTAAAATAAATACATCTATGAAGTTGGTACTTGAAAAATGAATCCTGGTAGTGGGATTTATTTCCCAGCAAAATGGAATATTTGGTTGGTAAACAAACAGGGTTTGAATCTTTTGCATTTGATTTAAATCTTACCGTAACACATCTGAATGAACCAATTAAGAGTCATGAATCCTGGATCATGATTCTGTAAAACTACTTCGATACAGAATCCTTGATGAATATTTGATGTACAAGCAGATATAAATAAACAAACAGAGGTAAATGGGATTAAATTGGGGAGAATCTATTTAATATTTGATGGGGGCATCGAGGCTTTAGAGGCGAATAAATAAACAGCCGCTTCCTGTTGTAATTCCCACATCATCATTTAAGTGGAAAACTATCTTCTTTATCTCGGGCTGTTTGATCTGAAGCCCCGAGGTGAAGCTTTTTGTTTTGCTGTTTTAAACATTGCGGCTTGGCAAGATTAATCTTTCACTCACGGCCGGTTTCTCTGCTACAAACTACATTCAGCTCCGTATGATCGTCCCCCTCCGCTCAGATTTGAATCATTGACTTTGGTCGCAGCGACAGGAACATCTGATGATCGGTTGGACAGATTTCACCAGGACGCCAACGCAGCCCGTGTGGAGGAGAAGTGGCCTCACGCTGGGAACAAAGCTGACGCATTTATCTCTCGATAGCGGGGAGACATTTGCATCAGTGTTCTCCTCGGAGGGAGGGGGGGGTGGGCCGCGTCCTTATCTCATACAGCGCTCCTATATCTTTCAAAGGTTTCAGACGGCTCTTGAAGTGGTTCTCAAACAACATGGACTGGCTGCCAATACCAAGGGGTCTGGGGGGGGG